GAGGTTTGGTGTTGGCGTGGGGGGGGGGGGGGGGAGTAGTGAAATGGACCAGGGCTCTCCTGGCTCTGTTTGTTCCCAGCTAGGCTTGACGTGCTGTGCGCTGGAGCACGTTGCTCGCCTCTTGCCTAACTTCCTGGGCGTTGTGTCCCAATACTGGGGAAGGCTTGACGACTTCCTTCCTTGGCCCAGCTAACCAGCAGGACCAACAAGAAGCCTCCCTCGCTTGCCCGAAGGGCGCCCCCCCTCCCCCCCCGTGTGCTGCCTCTCTGGCTGCGGAGGAGAGAGCTGGACTTCCTGGCTGTCCCTTAGTGCTGCTGTCCGAGTTGCAGTGACACGTCCCACCCGGCTGGGTTTCTGTGTTCTCACTGTATCCACTGGAGCTGAGCTGTGGGCTGGGACTCCAGCCAGCTGGAGGCTGGGCAGTCACAAGCAAACGCCTTGGCTAATCTCTTCCAAGGCAGCGAGAGTCACTTGGTGAGACTGCACCAGAGATCAGGCCCCTGCAAGGCACCAGTGTCCATCCCATAGCAGCTGCTAGCTTTGCGAAGGGGCTCCGCCCCTTGGGGGCTGCTGGGGACTCCCGTTGTGGACCTCTTGTGGTCAGGGCCTTCCCAGCTGGCTTGAACCATCTGTGTGAAGACCTAGTCCCATGCACGGTCTCCTCTCCCAGGAGGCTGAAGGGACACTGGCTTCCTAGGAGCAGTGGTGAGCCAGGGCCATGGCAGTGGAGTCGGCTTCTTCCCAGAGGCTGATTGTAGCTTGGTCTTTGGGGAAACTCTCCGGTTTGGGTAACTGGAGAAATGGGGGCCATTACCACCCTCCCTGGCTCACTGTAGAATTGCATCCAGTCCTGCTCTGACCTCCGGGCCTGTCCCAAACGGCAGCACCTGAGAACTGTTCCCTGCCTTAGACTAGCTGATGCTCGCCTGGGCAGCCTTGCAACCTGCCCTCCCTCCCCTCCCCCAGCCTGGCATTACTTGGGGGTGCCCCTTGAAAGCCGACTGGGTTAGCAGCCTGCTCGGCCAGGCCAGGCAACGGTGAGGGTGAGGCAACCGAGCGCTCTCTGTCTAGTCTCCACAGTGAACGAGTACGCATGCAAGGGGCTGGATAAACTGGAGGCGACGCTGCCGATCCTTCAGCAGCCGACGGAGAAGGTGAGCCCCCCTGCTTGGAGATCGCGGGGAAGGGGGATGTGAAACAAGGGGTCTTGACTCCCTGGGCAGACCAGTCCTGAGCGCATCAGCTGGGCAAGACACTTGACTCTTCCTACACCCTGGGTGGAGGAACTTCCTTGGGCAGGCCAGAGAGCTGGCCCACAGGTAAACTTCCACCAGAGGGAGGTGGAGATGAAAGCCAAGTGATGGATATCGGTGGTGGCTTCCTGACCTGGAGGGTGCTCTCACAGCGCCTTGCATCCCTGTAGTCTGGATGGTTGGATTGGGGAAGGCAAATCTTCCAAGATAATTGTGCTGGTTACTACTGACCTTGGTCATGTCCCTCAATCCTAGGTTGTAGCTGACACCAAGGAGCTGGTGTCCTCCACAGTGACTGGTGCCAGAGATGCTGTCTCTAGCACAGTCAATGGCGCGAAGGGTGCTGTGACCGGAGTGGTGGACATGGCTAAAGGTGCCGTCCAGGGCAGCGTGGAGATGACCAGATCGGTGGTGACCAGTGGCGTGAGCACCGTCATGGGGTCCAGGGTGGGCCAGATGGTGGGGAGGGGCGGGAGCTGGTGTCCTCCACAGTGACTGGTGCCAGAGATGCTGTCTCTAGCACAGTCAATGGCGCGAAGGGTGCTGTGACCGGAGTGGTGGACATGGCTAAAGGTGCCGTCCAGGGCAGCGTGGAGATGACCAGATCGGTGGTGACCAGTGGCGTGAGCACCGTCATGGGGTCCAGGGTGGGCCAGATGGTGGGGAGGGGCGTGGATGGCTGCAGAAAGCAGCTTGGGTCAGCCCCAGCCTCGCTGCGAATGGGCCGGCAGGGAGCCGGGGCGTGGCAGGATGTAGGGATGGTGGAGGCTGCTGGCGCTATTAAGAGTGTTCCTCCTTCCCTTGCGTCCAGGCCGCAAGCTAGCTTGGCCAGCAGGTACCACACCAGAGCACTGTCGCAGGAGGGAGGCCTGTGCATAGCAACTCTCCTTCCCCTCCCCACCCCACAAGGGATGGTCCCTGAGCTCAGCCCTTCTCGGCTGCTTTTGGGTGTTGGTGCCACCAAGGTCCATGACTAAATGATCAGTGGCATCCTGAGCGCCCAGTGGCCCAGTGCTGCTGGGTAGCCCTGAAGAGCCGAGGGTGAGCACCGGCTGGAGGGATGATATGGGGGCAGGAGGGGTGGCCCTTGCCCCGTCATGGACCCCCCCAGCTGTCACACCCCTGCAATAGAGCCCCAGGGCAAGTCCTATTAATATGAGCACCCAGGCTGGCCTGTGTCCAGTGACCGGAGGAGCCGACGGCAGCACAGACCTTGGCCAGACACTGGCTGGGCTGATGGGACTTCCCCCGGAGGCTGGCTGGACCCGTCTGTCCCCTCTCGTCCTCCCCAGCTAAACTGGCCACCTCGGTGGAAGGCTTCGAGGTGGAGCAGCAGAAGCAGCAGCAGAGCTACTTTGTGCGCCTGGGGTCCCTGTCCACCAAGCTGCGCCACCGGGCCTACCAGCACTCCCTGGGCAAGCTGCGGGATGCCCGGCAGAGCACCCAAGAGGCTCTGTCCCAGCTCCACCAAACCATAGAGCTGGTAAGAAGGCAGATCGGCCGCCTCCCAGGCACTTTGTCCCGGGTCTGACCAAAGTCCGAATCCTAGAACAGGAAGGGACTTCGAGAGTCGTCGAGTCCGGTCCCCTGCCCTCCCGGCAGGACCGAGCATCGTGGTCATGCCTGACCCGTGTCTGCCTAACCGGCTCTTCAATCTCCCTGGGCAACTTATTCCAGCGTTTCACCACCCTGGCAGGCAGGAGGTTTTTCCTAATGTCCAACCTAAACTTCCCTTGCTGCAATTTAAGCCCATTGTGTCCCCTCCTAGTCTCGGAAGCCAAGGAGAACAATTGTTCTCTCTTCTCCATGGAATACCCTTTTAGATGTCCCTTCTCTTCCCCTTCTCCCCAAACAAGACTAACCAGTTCTTCCAGCCTTTCCTCACAGGTCCTGTGTTCTGGCCTTTCACCAGTTTTGTGGTGGTTCTTCTCTGGGCCTTTTCCAGTTTCTTCACACTGCTGAAGAGTGATTTCAGAACCGGACACTACTCCAGTGAAGGCCTAGAGTAGAGCGGAAGAGACTTCTCGTGTCGGGCTCTCAGCACGCCTGTTCATGCCTCCCAGGATCATGCGGGTTTTTTCCCCAATAGTGTCTCACTGCTGACTCCTCTTTAGCTTGTCCACGCTGGCCCCTCGATCCTTACTGCAGGGCTCCTTCCTAGACAGTCCCTTCCCACTCTTGTACATGTGCAGCGGGTTGCTCCTCCCTAGGCGGAGCACTCACGATTGTCCTCAGTGAACGTTCTCCTCTCGACTGCAGACCATGTCTAGTGTGTGCACGTCTCCCTGCTCGGCCGTCTTGGCTCACAACCGAGGCGCCGTGGCTCGATCGCAGGGGGCCAGGACTGGCCTCCGCTCCTGTAGGCCAGCGTGAGTGCCGCTAACTACACAGGAGCTCACCGCTTCCTCCAGCTGGAGGATTTGGCCTGGTGACTCCTCACTGGTGGCCGACCCCCAGCCTCTTGACGTCTGGCTCTCTCTTCTCTCCCGTGCCAGATTGAAAGCGTCAAGCAGGGTGTGGACCAGAAGCTCCATGATGGGCAGGAGAAACTGCACCGCATGTGGCTGGAGTGGAGCAGGAGGCAGTCCGGAGGGGAAGGAGGTTCGGGTGCCGCACAGCCCGAGGTATTTTGCTGGGGAAGGGGTGGGGCAGGAGGAGTTCTAGGCTACTGCAAAGTGGTCTCAGACTGGGTGGGGGTCACATTCCCCCATCTCAACCGGTGCTTCCCTGGCAGGTGGAGTCTCAGACACTGGTCATGTTCCGCGGCATCACCCACCAGCTGCAAGCCACTTGCCTGAGCCTGATGGCCAATGTCCAGGGCCTCCCCACCAGCGTGCAGGACCAGGCCCGGCAGCTGCGCCACCACGTGGAAGAGCTCCACGCCTCCTTTGCTGCTGCCCAGTCCTTCCAAGACCTGTCCCACGCCATCCTGACCCAGAGCCGGGAGCGGGTGGCCAAGGCCCGGGAGTCCATGGACCAGCTGCTGGACTACGTGGTGCAGAACACCCCCCTGCCGTGGCTCGTGGGACCATTTGCTCCCCGAAAAGGAAGGGGAGGAGGAGGCAGCTGCTAGCTGTGGAGCCCGGCAAGCAACCGATCAGGGGACAGACAGCACCGCCCAGCAAGCCCCTGTGCCGAAGGAGGAACCGTAGACGGCTCCTTCTCCCTGCAGTTGGCTTGAGGGGAGGAAGGGCGTGCGATTCACATGGGCGTGAGGGTTGGAATCATGTAGACTCAGTGGCTACCTAATGTAGATAAGTCTGAGATCCCGGTTGGCCTTGCTTTCTTCCTGGTCGATCTCTTGTGCCCTTCCTAGCTCCCCTGGGGGCTCCTTCCACAGGTGAACATGTGCCCACAGCAGAAGCATCGTCTCGGAGCTAAGCTGGGGAGGCCTCTAAGTGCCCTTAATTAGCAGCTTGGTCAGAACTTCACAGCAACTGCCCTGAACTTGGGGTGCGCCTGGACCCCTGGGATGTGTGTTGTCCGGGCTCCTGACTACACAGCACCATCTAGGGGTGGGGGTGAAAAGCCCAGACTGTGGGTCTTGTTGCAGGACTGGTCCCTATTGGGGCTGGCTCTCCAGCGCCAGGGTGGCTGGATCCTCACGCTGCATCAGGCCTCCAGCTCTCCTGGTGTAACAGGCTTCCAAGCCCTTCGCACCTTCACTGCCTGTAACGACTCTTCTAGTCAATGAAGCTGTAACCTCTGGCCTGGAAGGGTTAACTTGCACCCGAGTCTCCTGAGGGGCTTGGCTTTTTTTGTAGCTGAAGTTTGAAGGGGGGGATCAGGGGCTGTTTGTACCTCACAGAATCACTGTCTCTTTTCACAATAAAACTTACTAACGTTTACCTGACTCGGGTGTTGCTGTAAACTCGCCTCCCTGCCCCTCTGCTCACAGGAGGAAGGGGATTCTCCCTCCCCTACAGCTCTGAGGCAGGAACAGGCAAAGCCAGCTCCAGCCTCGTCAGGCCCACCTCCGCCTCTAAAAAATGAGCGGGTTGGTGAGCCAGGGTCTCCCTGGGCTGGGAGCCAGTCCCGTCTCCCAGCGGTCCCAAGGCAGTGGCTGTCCTCGCTCAAGTCCTGCTTGGAGCGGTGCATTCTCTGAGCTCCAGCGTTCCTGGGCACCATGGCCCAAGACCCCACGGGGCTCAAGAACTGGGGGCGATCTGGCTCCAAGCCCCTGTGAGGGGTGGAGCCTCAGGCAGAAGGGGTGGGGCCAAGGGCAATCAGTCCTTAGCTCTGCCCAGAGTGCTGGGTCCTTTCCGATTCTCTCCTCTCCCC